TCCCCCTCCCCCTCCCCCTGCTCAAGCTCCAATGTCAACCGGTGGCTCCAACGCCAACGATCCTTTCGCCGGTGGCTCTGCACTCACACCTACCTCCCCCGTTAAGCCATCCCTTACAGGAACCGGTGGTTCAAGCTTTAAGCCCTTTATACCATCATCCTCATTTGGTAGAGGCTTGACGCAACAGCCTACTGGTGGTTCAGCTGGTTCTGGCCAGAGGCTTCCAGCACCTTCTGCATCCGAGGACTTGTTGTCAGATAACGATGAGGCTAGCAAGAACATCTCAGGGGAAACCACAGAGCTTGCAAACCTTTCTAACCAGATCTCATCTCTGTCCAAGCAGACCCAAGATGTGCAGGCCAAGAGGAATACCACTCAGAATGAACTAAACCAGGCCACGTCTCAGAAGCAGAACTTCGAGCAGCGACTGGCCCAACTGCGCACCCTTTATGAGAAGGAGGCGCAAGATACTCGTGCCCTTGAGGAGCAACTCAGCAATGCACGGAAGGAGACTGCCAAACTTCAGTCTGAATGCATGGCGCTTGAAGGAACTTACCGTGATGCTCAGACGCAGCATCAGCAAGTATTGGCAGCTCTCCAAGCGGACCAACAAGAAAACACCAGCCTCCGAGAACGGATTCGTGTAGTCAATGGCGAGATTGCGCAGCTCAAGCCTCAGATTGAAAAGCTAAAGTCTGATGCTCGCCAACAGAAGGGACTGGTCGCCATCAACAAGAAACAGCTGTCCACTACAGAGGGCGAGCGCGATAAGCTAAAGGGAGAGGCGGAGGAGCTCACCAAGAGCCTTGAGGATGTTCGGCTGGCAAACACTGGCTCGCCAGCATCTGCTTCGGCTCAAATTGCAAGCCCAGCTGCATCGACCTCCAGCGCCAACAACCCCTTCTTCCGCCGCACTGCAAGCACTGATATTATGGGTGCATTTGCTTCTCCTCCTCCCACTAAGAATGTCTCTGATAAGTCTTTTGACGACCTCTTTGGCCCCTCGTTTCCACCCAGCGCCTCGGCCACTCCTCCGCCACCTCCACAGACCTCTTTCAAGCCCCAGCATACCGGTGCCTCGACCGCCAGTGCTGGTTCATACAGCACCCCTCCTGCCGCCAGCTCTCCTATCATGAGCCGTCAAGCAACCCTTGCTGCTGAGCCCCCTGCTCCCCCGGAGTCGAGGCAGATCAGTTCCAGCTTCTTGCCTTTCCCTGACCATACTGAGTCACTCTCATCCTCTCGCCAAGTGTCGCCCCCTGCTTCGCGTGCTGATGACCCCCTTCATGGTTCAGCTACTCCTGTTCCCGGTGACCTGAAGGCCTCTGACAGCCCTGCCGGTGTTCCTGGTGCTTTCCCTGGCGACGAGCTTGACAAGTCCGAAGTCAAGGACGCGGCCTCTGCCTCTGCCTCTGACGATACTACCCGTGAAGCTGTTAAGGACGAAGCACCAAAAGCGACCGAGTCTGCAGATCCATTTGGTGGTAATGATGAGGCCAAGGCCAAGGCCGACTTCGAGAATGCATTTGCTGCCTTCACCACTGCTAAGAACCATAGCAAGCCTTCCCCTGAGGCGAATAAGTTATCTGCCTTTGATTCGGAGTTCCCTCCCATTTCAGAGCTTGAGCGTGATGATGAGGAGGAGTCTGACTCAAGTAGTGACAACGGAGGTTTTGATGATAACTTCACGCCTGCATCACCGCCCGCCAAGCCCTTTGGCGAGAAGGCAAAAGCAGTAGAGTCACCAGAAGCTACTCACGCAGTTCCTGCCAGCACTTCACCGCAGCCAGCCCAGGGAGCCACCCCTCCATCAGAAGCCATGGCCCCTAGGTAAGTGGTTGATCATACTCAAATTTTGATGTCAAGAGTTAACATAGACCAGTATCGAACAGCCTTCGTCTCCCGCAACCGTGACTGAAGCCACTGCTCAACAGTCTTCGGTTGATGATATCTTTGGCGCGGCAGCAACCGGGACTGCCCCTGCTTCGCAACAGCCTGCCCCCTCTAACCCCCCTCAGACCAAGGGTGGATTTGACGACTTGGACAGTGACTTTGAAGGCCTAGAGGATGCTAAGGAAGGCTCTGCTGATGAGGATTTTGCCAACATCTCTCGTTCCGGACTGGACGACTTCAACCCCGTTTTTGATAGCAGCCCACCCGGAAGCCAGACCAAGACGGAGTCCACTGCGTTCGGCAACGAGAGCTTCGACTTCATCTCCCACAGCTCAACTGGCGCTGCTCAGCCTGCTGTGGGAACCAACCAGCAGAAGGCTCCCGAGGCCCATGACTGGGATGCTATCTTCTCTGGTCTCGACTCCCCTAGCGCAACTGCTGCCCAGCCTGCTTCTGCTGAGAAACCAGCGGGCGCTGAGTCCCATCCTGGTCAGCAGGCTCTGAACCGCACTTTGTCAACTGAATCCGAGCATGATGACCCAATCCTGAAGAGCCTTACAAGCATGGGCTATAAGCGACATGAAGCTTTAGATGCTCTCGAGAAATATGATTACGATCTTGACAAGGTTAGTTGAACTCAATCTACGCAAAGGAAACCTTCTAACGTATACAGGCGGCGAACTTTCTGGCTAGTCGCTCATAATAAACAACAACAACAGAATTGTCCCGGATATTATCTTCTGAAGGGAGGGCTTAATGCACACTGCATACTTGCTCTCTTACTATTGTTTTTTTGTCTGCATCCTCATGATTCGTTTGTTGAATATTTTCTTGGCAGCGAGATTTTCCTTTTGCGTCTGGTCCCATTGGACATGGGCTTGTTCTCCTATCATCTATCATCTGTCCACACATTGTAGTATCATGAAGACTGCTTGTTTGCTTAAGCCTGTATTGATTTCGTCTTTCGTGTTGCATGCTTTGAGATTGCAGCTGTAGAGATGCAGTTTTGTGTCGCCGATATAATGATACAGATAGAGCAGACACCAACAAGTTACAATAATGAATTATTCAAACAAGCGTAAATACCATTGTCGCTAACAGGGCATGAAACAATGCCCATCTTACACAATTGCGATAACCCTCTACCTTTTCCCATTTAACCACAAATCATTACTCGTCCTCGGTTACTACTTTACCCTGCTCATGATAGTCTCTGGTCCACGCCCACTATCAATATTGGCAGCCTCCTTCTTGACCGCGCCGATCCAAGACCTCTCAAAGTCATCTCTTGACTTCAATACAGCCTCAACCCACTGCACATTCAGGTCCCAATAGGCCATCTTGAACGTCACGTAAGCGTCCACGATGGCATTGCGGTCAGTTGTCAACAGACGCAAGAAGTGCTCTGTGACACGCCAGGTCTCCTTGATAGAGGCACCAATGTCTGGTGAGGGGAGTGTGCTGAAGCACTCGAAAGCTGTGGAGATATCGTTGAACAGCTTGTCCTGAAATGGGTCGGTACGACGGAACTTTGCGCCCTTGTTGCGCACAGCAGATAAGTAGCGAACAAGTAGCTCCTCAGCAAAGATCTCGACGAAAATATCGACCAGTGAATGGTGCAGTACGTGGCGGTAGTCGTTGACGTACTCCTCGAATGTTACCACCATCTGCTTCATAGCAGTAGTTGTATACCATCGAGGCGTAAAGAAGTCAGGCATGACGGCACCAAAATCGACGGAGAATATAAGTTGAGCGAAGCGATTGATACACCATGTGCTGAAGTCGACGTACCCGTCACGCAGCGTATTAACCTCACTCTCAATACGTTCAAGGTACGCAGGTGTGACATGCTGCTCAACAAGGCGACGGAAGCTTGAGAGGTATGCAAGACGGTTCTCGTCCTCGTTGTCGTCGATGCATGCGATCTGATCGTTTGCTGTAGCCACGAGCCAATCCTGAAGAGCCTGGAAACCCTCGAGTTCGGGGATCTTACCCTCCTCGTAGGGGATAGCCTCATCTTCAAGCATAGCCTGCCACGACTGCTGGCGAGTACGTAGACGGGCAAACATAGCATCGATTACACCCTCGACAACATCTGCACGCTGGGAGTTGGCAGCCGTGTCCACTTGCTCACGCAGCATTCGCCATAGGGCAACAAAGTTCTTGGTTCTGAAATAACCATACTCGTCCTGATCCAAGTTTGAGCCCTCGACGTTACGCTCTGCAAGATCGCGCTTCTCTTGTGCAAAAATTCGGTCGATCCACTCGTCAAGAAATTTAATGATGAGCTCACGAAAGTCGCGAACAAGCTCTGCCTCACGGTTGTCGATGACATGAGGTATGAGCTCTTCTTGCTTCAGGCCGATCTTTGCCATCTTTCTGTAGTACTTCTCTGGGAAGCCCACGATTTCCAAGGTATGTGCTGACGACGCCTCGTTGCCATCTACCATGCCAACCAGGAAATCGTGCATCAGCTGATGATATACGCCAGCGTATGTCTTTACTATGTTCCACTTCTTTGGCATAAGGTGTGACATTCCAACCTTGACGACGTTGAGATCGTTGAAATACCACTTCATTATCTTGTCCAACTTGCTCGGATCTTCAAGGAACTCTTCTTTTGCTCCTTCGAACTGTTGCTCTGCGCTGAGTCGAATAGCCTGTATGAACTTGTCCTTATAGCCACGAACCTTCTTAGCACCGTCTGTGATACTCTGAAAGCGGGTAGCCATTTCTTTGTGGTCTTTGAGAGCTTCCTGCAGTGCTAGTACACGCTGGTCGCTTGACTCCTCGGCCTCCATCACCACTGCGAATCTCACAACAAGCCCGTTGTTATCCTGGACAACGAGGTTGATGAGATTCAGAGCGATGATGCCAACATGCTCATCAAACCAGTCAATCGTGTCGTCTAGCCTTGAAAAATAGTCCACCAGTGTCGCCTCAAGACTCTCGTCCTCTGCGCGCTGTATTTGTTCCATAGCATCGTCGCGGATATTTCTCAATTGAGTAAGTTCGTAGTGGCACGGAAGCAGATTGGGCATGTTGTCGCTATCCTCGTCATCTTCCCGAAGCATCAACTCGACACGCGATATGCGCTCGTTGAAGGTCTCGAGGTTGCGGCGCATGGTCTCGACGGCGCCAAAGTTGCGGTGTGCTTGTGACACGAGGTTGATGCTCGCAAAGTCCTTTATCATATTCTGTGACTCGGAGCACAGCTTGTCGATCTTGATCATTTCCTCTTTGATCATCTGGACCGTCTTCTGGCCGTCACTGAGCCCCGTCATACCCGATTGTGTCGTCTCAAGCTGCTCGCGCAGGCCGCTTCGGAGCTGACCATCTACGGCGCCCTTTTTGCGTGAGAATTCTAACTTGAGTGCGGGAATCTTGTCTAGATCGTCGGGATGCCGTAGCAGCTCTGAGAGCTTGGGAGCAGGTGTGTCGTCCATTGTAGCGGCGGCGGCGTCGGCGTCGGCGTCGAGGGGTTCCGCGCCCAATTAAACCATGATGCGGGGGGTTATCGTGTCTTTTGTAGTCCTGGACTTTTGGTGCTAATGTCTAGGTATTAAATTCGTTGGGCGTAGGTGAACGCTGAAGCGAGAGTGTCGAGTTGGGCATGTCAAAGTCAACGTCAACGTCGCGGGGAGCTATTCACTGTCCCTTAACTACTGTAGGTCGTTCCATCATGTGGCTGACAGCGGAGCACAGCCACTCTCTCCAATGAGAGTTCAACACCACAGACAGTATCATGATAGAAAGCAGCAAAGAGGTAGTTAAGGAATATTCGAATGGTGACATAGTATGTAGAACTTTATACAATATATTCTTTTACATTTTGGGGTATCGCTATAGTTACGTCTTGACAAAATTACACCTGCTCAGTCTTACTCGCTATCACTTCCAGAGCTGCTCGTCTCATCATCGTCATCATCCTCTTCTCCAAGGCTCTGTTCGGCAATCACATCGCCTTCCTCAAGGCTTACTGCCTTGAGTTCAGTGTTAATTCCATCATCTGACTCATTCTCCTCTCCGTCACTCCTGACCTCACCTTCTTCTACACCCTGACCCCTATTTCTTCTCTTGTTCGGTTTGGCTGGACATTTCTTTCCAGGGGGGTTTTTCCTCTTGTTACTTTCCTGAGGGGCCTTATCCTTGGGTCCAAGTGCGAAGGTCTCAGGAAGGCTCTGATCTTGGTCAAAAACCCATATTGTGGGAAATTCCAGCACGCGCGTATTTCTCAGCACCTCTCGCAGGCAGTCTTCGGGGTCGAGTCTAGTGACAACAGAAGGCTTGTCCGAAGGGGTCCGGAACTTTGCGAGGAAGAAATTGAACTTCTTCTTCTGAGCTGCTATCTTCTCAGATGGCCACAAGCCTGGCTCTGTGTCGATATGATTCGTCCAAGTACCTGTAAAGGGATCTTGGAGCGCAAATGACCCAGATGACCATGTCAAGTGCACCAAGTCCTGCACTTGTCCGTCTGTACCTGCTCGTGGGGTCTTCTTGGCTTGTTGCCCTTTCGCCTTCTGTTGTTCTTCTAGTGAGGTATGGTATGCTTCGTATAGTGGCACATCATCCATAACCTTCGATAACATGCGGACCTTCTTTGACTCTGCATCAGGAAGATTCTCTAACACCATCCACTCAACCTGCCAATTGATCCTGTTGGTTCGCCGATTGAGTGTGGTATGGTTCTCCTTCTGCCTCGCCATACCAAGCGGTACACACACGATAGTGATGTTCAACTTCCTCAATCGCGCAGCCAAAAACCGTTCGAAAGTTCTGCCTTTAGCTTCGCGCAAAACTCTTGTAACGAGAACCTTGCGCTTGCGCCCATCTTTTCCAGGCTTCCATTTAACTTCTTGGATCGTCATCGGTCGCAATTCCTCCTCTTGCACGATACCACGCTCTTCGACGAGAAGCTTCTCGGCGCGTTCGATGGAGCGCTCAATTCCATGGAGGAAATTGTAATCATGATCGACACCGGCGGGAGTACGAAGTTTCGATGGAGCCATGTAGGCTGTTGCGTCGCGTTCGCCGGAACATTCAGACCAGGCTTTGTGTTTCTTAATACACGCGAGGGAACAGGTTCGAGTACCGCATCTTGGGCATTTGTATTTCGGGGTTGATATATGGCAGATTCCGCAAAGAGATGTTAACAAAGGATCAGCCATTATAGATTGCGACAGTTGAGAAGTCTGGGTGAAGGAGTTGAAGAAGAGAAGAATACGCTAACACTTTTAACGGGCAAATTGATGTTGCTAACGGAAACTTTTTAATGGGTCTTTTCGCATATCTTATCAGCAACTCACGTCGGGTCTAATTCATTATAAGGTACGGAGTACAATGTCAGTCTCAAGACTACAATAACTTGCCAGTCTATAGTACGTGCTATTGCAATGATGTATATTACAACAAGTTGAATATTTCACACATGACCAGAGGCTAGGATAACGTGCAAATGTGTTTCATTCTTATACCCCCCTTCAACCATGTAAAGGAGGAAGACTATAAAAACACCGCTGCGTAGAAGAATACTCTAACATAATGAGAAGATGGCCGTCAGGCTTAACATAGGTATATGAGCTAAGCTGCTCATCAGATGAGGCAGAAAAATGGTAATGACAAAAAAGATATAAGGGACATCAAACGCCGAACCCGCAGGTTTTGATCCAAGCCAGCCGCCAAATACAAGACAATTAAATCGAA